GTATCTGCTTAGACTTCGAATGTCAATAGCAAGAGACTACACCTGTTTGCCCAGGCTGTAATGGTCAAGAAATAAAGCGACAGCGTTTAACGGCAGGCCTTTTGTCGGAGGCAAAGATGTGAAAGGAGAAAAGCTGCGAAGACATTGAGGAATCGTAGTCGGTCTGCTAGAAGACTGCTCTCCAGAGTGTATAATTTGGAATTCTGTTGTGCAACGGCGCTGAGAGACTTACTTATTGACAAAAACATCTCATACCGACATCTAAGCATAATCATCCACATCTGAGCATACCTCTACGCATATATACACAATACACACAGCTTTTAACATTCTAAACATGACCCAATAGAAATCCGGGTAACATTCGAAGGTGAACACTCTCTTTGGCATAAATTTGCATTAGGAGATTCGACAAGTTTGCTTCTACCAAACCAACTTCTCTTTGATTTTTGCTACTGAATCAAGTATGGAACTTAGAATCCAGACTTTTGGGGAAAGAAAAGGGGATGATTGTAAAACTCGAATGTGCTAGCGCTGCCCAGGTCAGATAAATCTATGAATTTTTAACCCCATCACGTGGCAGACCTACCGTGCAGCAGCAGTAACAATAACATCAACAACAGCAGCAGTATTCACAGCATAATGACAAGAAGAACATCGCCTCTACCTCCTATCCCCTCTTATTTGCAAGAACTCCCCCTAGGTGGAGATACGAACCTGCCGTGTTGAATTCATTTTATCTTTTAAGTTGGCTTTTATCCCCCATCTCTTTCTATCTCTCTTTAGCGCTGAACACCTACCGTGACGGTCCCCCCGGTGGCTGGGGTCCCAGGAGAGAACGACGGTGATCTTTCCGTAGTGGTCCATGATCTTCCACACCGGCGCTTCATCGTGGAGCCCCAGGGAGTAGATGGTCTCACATACGATCTTGGGAATGGCAGTGATAGCTGCGAGGGGGAGAGCTCACGTTACCGCATTCAAGCAGCAGAGCGCTATATGCCAGCGGGCCAAATTGGGCAACAAATATAATAAAAAAACTGTGCACCGACGCTCTAGGTAGATGAATTAACTTGGCAATCATCACTAGGCCTACGAAAGAATGTTTTTTTTTTTTTTAGAGACTTTTCTGCTTTAATTTGTCCTGGCCCAAGTGGACTCTAGAGAGAAGTGTTATTTATTGGAGGATGAAGAGGGTTCATACCACATTCTTCTAATCTCTATCAAACCAGGAAAGATGAGGTGGCGACTGTCTTACAAGGGATTGGAAACTATTGATATCTTGGGATATCATAACATGGTCTTCTGTCATGTATTGTTTCAGGCACTTAACGAATCTCTGTCTGTCAAAGAGTCGCAGATCGTGCCGTGGTGGCACAGTGAACAAAGTACATCTCTTTTAGATATGGCGGAACAACGCCGTTACACACGCGCATTAGTTTACATTAATCTGAAATATTTACACACTTTGACATTTCGGTGAGACTTAGTATCAAGGTCATAACTAAATTGCAGCACTGCCAAGAAAGAAACCTCATAGTGGAACTCAAGCTAAAAAAAAACGAAACTAATAGAAATACTGATAAAATAGAACACCAGGACAATGACCTTCTGATTTGAGAACAAAAAGTAAACTAGTAATGCATTGACAAGAGAGTTTGACCCAGGCGATCATGCAAAAACTGCTGTTGTGTAGCGAGTCTATCTTCAGTTTTGCGTCTCTTCTTAAGGTGGAGGATCATCTTTCTCGTTTTTATATCTGATCCAAAAGTCCTTTCCAGATTGTTGAGAGAAAAAAGTCTTTTTTTGCAGCTCTCCCCATCGCAAAAACTCACATCATCCCGAGACTAAGAGTCTTACGGCTAACTTAGCAATCAAGTCAATTCATTGTCAATCGTAAGGAAAAAAATCAGTGCTATTTGGATAGAAAATTAGGGTACCCAACTCAAACCTGAAGACTGCTCTGAAAAGAGAGCATCTTAGTCAAAACAATGATTCTACTCCACGGAAATGCGCAACGAAAAGCCAAAATAAACAAAAACATTAACAAATTACAGGCAACTAAAAGGTATACGCAGAGTTGCTGATGCACGATCTTTGCAATCCAACTAGCACTGCAATATAAATAGTCTAGGAGACCGTGGTGGGCCGAGTTCTGTCTCAGTTTCGCAAAGAGAAGTCAGCTGATCTCGTCGTCACTCTCCAAGCGGTGTCGCATCACCAGTCAGCAGAAGACGGATGAATGATAAAAAGGCAAAGCCAAAAATCTTGATATTTCATTGAGTTTTTGTTCTTAAAAGAATGTTAGCACTCATACTTATGAGCATACGTTTACATCGTTATTCTCTGAATGTGGGGTTTCGACAGTTCTCAAAGCAATGTGTCAGAAATGACTGTTGTTCGAAAAGACATTTTTTAAACCCTTATTTGTTCCATGATGTATACGTCTGTTTGTTTGAGGGGGAGGGAAGTGCGTTCCAGAAATCGGCCACAGGTCCGTAGC